AAAGAGTTGCTTCGCGTTTTCACAACGAGTCCTACGACCTGGACGCGACGAGAGAGTGGACTTTCAACCAGTAGGCGTCGTGGCTTTGGCTGCGGCTTGGACCGGGGTTCACGAGGAACTGATCCATGTTTTGAACAACCTGGCCGGAAAAAAGGTCTGAGCTCTTCGCTGGTCGGGTTGAGTCCTGTTGTACAGCGCTTGTACAGTTTTGGCTCAAGTCTTGTGTGCAGCTTCGACTCAAGCTCTCCAAACTCTATGCTCCCCAACCCCTAAACCCCACCCTAAACGATTGTTTTTCGTTTTGCATGACTTTTAGCATGTTTTTGGCATGTTTTTTTGGATTTTTTGTGAGTGCTTGATCCGCGCTCGCTCCCTCGAAGGCAACAGTGGGCTTTTGATTTTGTCATTGCATTTTTCACGTCGAAGAACAGAACACAAAAGGCTACCACATCTTAGAAGGCAGCAAGTGCAGACAAGCACAGGCGAGCACACACAAGGTAGTGACGCTTGGGAAAGATGTGTATGTTGGCAGGAAAGGTCACTAGAAGTTGTTTTTTAGCTTTTGAAAGATCTTGGGAGGATTGACATCTTTGTCTCACTCTGTTCTGTGGCTAGTGTGCGAGCTTGGCTTGACAGATTCCTGCACGAATCTGGTTTGGATTGAACGGATTGTTGGGGTGCCACCAGTAGTTGAAAGAACAACTTGTATGAATGATGGATAAAGTTCTGGAGTTCTTCGGGTTTGGGACGTGTTTTAAGATTGGGCGAACTTTTATTTCAACGTGTTCAGTTTAGATGCATCTTCATATTTCGTTTCGAAGAAGATGTTTCTGTTCAATTAAGCATGTTAAAAATCACATATTTTGGATTTTATGGTGGGGCACAAACCTAAGATGTGCGCACCGATTTTGTCAGTGTGCCGGATGTTGCGGTTTTTGTCGTCGTTAGATCACGAGTTTGGTTTGGCCGTTATTAAATTTTGATTCCGGCCTTGCGAAAAAATCGAACTTGCATACAATTGTTTGTCCGGTTCCGCCGGGTTCGTGTGTTGGGAGCTGCATGGCCTCCTTGTCACGCTCCATTTCAAACAAACGCCCTCGGCTTTCAAGTTTCCTCAAAAACACCTCAATTCAAGCTCCGCTGAAACCTCCTGCTCAAAGATGCTCAAAGCACCTTTACCAGCCTGTTCTCGAAGCCCCTGTCCAGCTAGCTCAAGCCTCGTCCGTGAAAGTTTGTTTATGGTTCAGCAACTATCATGAGAAGACGTTGGTGGGGACCCAGAACCCCTGGTCGGTCTTCGCATCATCTGAATTGTGCACTGTCCAAGCTTTGCCAGCAGAACTTTTAGTTCAGTTTTGGGCGTTGCTGCGGTATGCAAAGTTGAGTCTTGTTTGGCTCAACGAGAGTTCTGCATCGTTGAACAAGACTGCCCGTAAATCTTTGGTACTTACTTCAACTCTTTCGGCAAGACGTTTTTTCTGCCAGTAGCGTGAAGGTGACTGATCGGCTGCAGCCTTCTTCCATGGAGACATGGCGGCCGCAGTAGCAGTGCCCATTGCGGTGCGGGTCTCAAAGTCTGACATGTCAGGCTTTATGTGACCCAAATCGGCGTTGTCGTGCCGTGGGTTCTTTGAGAATGCTGTAAGGCTCGATTTTACACTCCTCCTGCAATCTCGTCTAATGGCCAGATGAAGCTTGTACCCCGGCCCCTTTGTTGCATTGAGACGTGCAGTGCAGCATTTTTTTGAGCCAGCAAGTTGTGATGTCCAGGCCTTTGGTCGCAACCAACTGGCAGGCATCAACAAATGCAAGCATGCGACTGCATGGTGCAAGCTGAGTGCTGCCGCAAGTTTGGTCTGAAGCGAAGGCAGTTCCTTCGTCAGTCGGTGGAGTATTGCAAAGGCAAGCCGTCGTCCAGGCGTGCTCTCGGGTGCCGGGGATCTCGCCCGTCGCTACAGTCTTTAAGATCTCATTGCCACCCCTTGCGGTTGTTCCCTTCCTAACAGCAGCAAGCTGCCAGCATGCTGCAGGCACCAGAGGCACCCGTGCAGCCCGCGGACTGAGCATATTCTACGAAGCTTGATATGCTTGCGCTGAGATTTGAGCGGCAAGGGCTGTTGACCCTTGACCTTTTGAAGGTGGCGGCAGCTGCAGACTACCGCGTCGTCAGCCACATCGAAGGCATCAACTTGACAAGTTCTTCAAGCCACTCGTTCTGGCTTTGTGTCAGTTCCCTTCCTGCGCAGGTTCTCGTGGTAAAGGAGTCAGAGCCCCTTGTGCTTGATTGCACATGGCTGCGTCAATGCTGTTCGATTCAGATCCTTTCGAGTAAGGCCTGGGGATGCGGCTCGCAGCCCAACCGGCTCAGTGCAGGAGGCAGACCTCCTGTTGATGATGAGCATAAAAGAAGAGAGGCAGAGAGAGACAGAGACGACATGTTTCGGGGTCCAGGCCCGCTCTGGTCGGTGTCCAGAGCCATCGCCAGAGCGACAGGAAGGCTCCGCTGCAGCGAGTAATTTTTTCGTTGGTTTTCACTTGCCGCAGCCCACTGTGCGTGTCGCTAAAGCCGCCATGAGCAGTCGCAGCATGTCATGATTATGGTTCTAATCACGTCGTATTGGGAAGCAGGAGGTTAGGACACAGGTCCGTGGATAGGTCTTCTGGCAATGGCCGCAAGCCCACTACAACTGGCAGCTTCAAAGGCAGGCTCGCCAGAAAGCCAACTGGAAGCATCGTCAAGCAAAGCCAAACTTGTACCTTGGGCTTTTTTTGTGCATTGTGACTCCCAGTCATGTGTTCCCCGCTTTCCATTCACCTGCGTGCGGGTATGATGGTTCTGATCCTGAGGACTATGTGGTCGCCGGTGTTGCGAATTTGCGACGAAGCTTAGAACGCCAACTTGATCATCCCCGCGGTGAACGTTTGGACCTGTTGCTGGAGGAGGTGGATCGCCTTGCGGTGTCTCTGTTGATGGCTTTATGGCAGTGACTATCTGATGTCCCTAGAGAAGAGATGTGTTCGGTCAGGCGAAGAAGCTTTCTGCCGATTTGCAGCCGCCTCCCGGCTGCAACAGTGATGCTGGTGACTGCACCAAGGCAAGTCCTCCAACATGTGCTTTGTCCAGTCTCGCAGTGGAAACGATTGGCAAGGTTCGTGTCCTTGTCCAACGAGTTCAAATCAAAATGGGATTCGCAGAAGGCTGCGATCCTGTCTCAAAAGAAGACTGAAATCGATGCGCATCTTCAGCGAGAAGACGACATTGCGCAAGCCGAATTCGCAAAGACAGCCGTGCCTTGTTCATGCTTTCTGTAGCATTTTCTCTTCGATGGATGCGACATGTGCTGCGACCAGAGTCGACAACGGGAAGTGCAGATGTTGGCTTTTCATCTTCCGACAGCTTACGGGTCTTCCCACCAGTCTGCTTGAATAGTTCCTTGCTTGCCGCATTATGAAGGCTTGGCCTTGCACATTTTTGCAGTAACTCTTATGTTGAAACAGCTGCTGCAGGGGCCTCTCATCCGGGATCATATGTTCCACATGCTCGGGTCACTATCATCCACTCACTTACGGCAGTCTGACTCTTTGACGTCCCCCAGGAAGTGGAGCTGCGCGCCCTCGCCACGGCTGAGGAGCAGCGTGGTGGCACGGCCCGTTCGCAGGAACTCGAGGTGGGGAACAGTGGGTTCATGCCGAGACGGCCCGGATGGAGAGAAGGCTTCATGCCGTGAGACTGGAAAGGCAACGGTGAGATGGAAACACAAGTTGAGCATAGTTGAGCAAGCGTTTCAGAGCTGCCGCAGGGCTTCGCAACGATTAATTCACACCAAATCTGTGCGAAGATCAAATCATGAGGGATACGCAATCAACACGAAGACTGAGACGGAGACGGTCATACCGTCATCGGATCATAGCCTGCTAGAAGACAGAGAAACTGAGAGACAGTGGCTTGCCGCCTGGGCTTGGCACTCGCGAGCGCAAGCATGCAATCTCTCGTTTCCTCTCCCGTTCCGAACTCGTCTGAATATCTCTTCCCGTTGCTGCTGCCGTTTTTTCCTGTTGCTCGTATTCGCTTGAGCTGCCTTCCTCTTGTGAGCTTTGCTTTTTCGAGCGTGGGTCAGACCTCCTTGTCGAGAGGCGATCCTTCGTCAAGCAGTGGAGACTTGGCGGGCGGAGGCAAGGGAACTGCCTTCAACACTGTGCGTGAATCGGCGTGTGTTTCTGATCGCCGGAACGCTGCAGGTTCACGGCGCCAGCCTCGTGAGCAAGACAGATGTAGAGAAGGCCGTTCGCACGTGCTTGGCACGTGTCGTTGCCTGGACGTCGACGCAGGAACAACGCATGGTCGCCACTTGGAAGGAGACCGCTCGGCAGCTGGTGTTGGAAGTCCACAAAGCGGATGCGAACAGCTTCCAAGCGCTGGAAGACACGTTGTCCGCACGCAGGGCCATCGTGGATGATCTTCTGACACGCCAGCGACGCGAACTGACAAATGCATACCGACAAATGCAGGACAACCTAACCCACAAGACGCGCGAGATGCTGCAGTCAGACCGTGAAGTTCAGCGGAAGAGGGACAGCAAGGCAGACCGCAGGCTCATACTGAAGGAAGCCCAACAAGCAGCCAGAAGTAGAGTGGAGGTTGCCAAGGCAGAGTCTCTCAAGGCCTTGGATGCCCATACACAGCTATGCTGCTCAAAAGTGGATCGCTGGGCTTCCCTGTTCCTGCTGAAGAAGTCGCTGCTTCAGGAAGTAATCGGAGAAATAGGTCCAATGCTTGCCGCAAACCTCGATGACGAGCTGCGAACTACAGTGGCTCAGATTCGGCAGCGGCAGAACCAAAGAGTTGGCGATGCTGAAGATCCACCTCAGCGAGGCGTCGCGCCATGGCCAAAAGCGGGGATCCTTCCCTTCCCTTGACCCTGTCACTGCCTGTCACAGCTCTGTGGCAGGAGTGGGCTCAGAAGAGTGCGGGCCTCGGTTTCGATTTCTGTTGCAAACCGCAAGGGCCGCCGCAAGGGCTTGCGGCAGGTTGGAAGACGGAGAAGGGCCTGCAGCCAGCCCTGAAGAAAGTGCGGAGCTGGAAGCCATGCGACGCAGTCGCGCCCCGGCCTTGTCAAGAGACTGCTTTCCGTCACTGTCGGCTAATTCTCGGCTAGTTCTCTCAACGGCTTCTGTAAAGAGTGCGAGGAATGACCCACGAGCTGAAAGACCTGAAGGATGAAGTTGAGGCGATGCTTGCGGCTTCGAGGGACCGGAAGTCCTGGAAAAGGGACATAGACGAGGCTGCGGCGAAGGGCTTGATCCTACTCCAAGATGCCAAAGCTGCTTTGGAGGTTCAGTCGCAGATTTTTCAAAAGGCAGATGGAAGCCAAGCCGATGACAGGTGGTTGAAGGAAACAGTAACCGGACTGTCAAATTGCACTCAAAGCTTCCACGCAGATCTCGTCCCAAAGTTCGAGGATGTATCCAACCTTAAGTTGATGTGCATCAAGAAGCGCCACAACTACCTGGGCCAACCAGTTCAGAAGCTGGAGCAGAGCTTGCTCGATGCAGAGCGGGAGATCTTGAAGTCGATCACGAGGCTGGCTGCCGAAGTGGAGGCAGGGCCTTCCGAAAGCGGCCTCAAAGACTGTCCTATATTGGCTTTTTTCGGCGGAGCTGAGGCCTTGTCGGAGATTGGCCGTCTGGCCATGCACCAAGCGGCGGCTCTGGCTCCGGTGGCCAGCTCCTGGCGCAAGGCAGCCACTGCAGCGCTCTCTGGCAGAATCACTAACTTTAACCCCCTTCCCCCCAAAAGAAGGCAGTGAATCCTGAATTGAACTCCTAGGCTCAGCATTGTGCAGCGGCTGTGGCAGCTGGCGAAAACGGGTCCTGAGGAGCAGAAGAGCTTTTTTACTCGACTCCTAGCTGTCCTGGACCGCTCACCCCTCGCAGCAGATGTGCTTGCGAGAGGAGAAAGATGCCGGGGTTGAATCTTGAATTGCATTCCGGGACCGCAGTGATCAACAGCGATCCCTGTCAGGTTTCAGAAAGCGCGGTGGGGAGGGGAGGCACGGGATTCCCCTGCGCCACGGGGCGAAGACGAGCTCAGTCTTTTTCGGCAGAGGTCGAGCGGAGGTGGCCCAACGACCCTTAACTTCTCGACGTCTTCGTCATCGAAGGTGCAGGCAGAGAAATCCAGGAAGATCACAGAAGACTCTTGCCCACGTCTCGAAACGAGGCGCGTCCCAAGGCTCCTGCAACGAGAGACCGTGTGCCTGGCCTGTCTTGTGTTGTACCTGTCACAGCTCTTTCTGCACTTTGCCCACGTCCTCGCAGGTGGGAGCACAGCTTCTCAGGTATCGTCCCGGAACTCGCCCCGTGGTGCCGGCCTAATCTTCGCAGTTTCAAAAAGTTGAGATTTCCTTGGCCATTGGCTGCATTGGCTTGTGCTGAGGCCAAGGCCCAGGCTCGCGACGCACATCGAGTACCACGAGTGCCTGTGTGTCCCCACGGAGAGACAAGGCCCAGGCCCAGGACCGCAAGCGCTGAGGGCATCACCGTCCGTCCTTTTCCTTGGCAGGCGAAGGCGAAAGAAGCACCAAAGCCGTGCTTCTCACCGGCTTGGCCTGCAGCCGCCTTGGACGGCTTCGCGAACGTGCGCTCCCCGGTGTTGGCGAGTTCTGATGCTCTGAGGCAGATATCTTTGCTCGAGAAGAGGCCGATCTCCACAAGGCAGACATGGATGCTTCCCCACATGGCGACGGCAACCGCAGGCAAGTCCTTGTGCACATAGCCCTCGGGGTGATGGCAGAGGCAGAGGCCAGCGATAGTCTGAGCGTTTGCCAGAAACATTGATTAAAGCACAAAGACCCACTCAGATGCCTGGAATCGCGCAGAATCTCCCCATGACTGTACCGTCCTGACTGCGAAAACTCGGGTATTCTCGGGTGTTGCAGATGCACAGTTCCGCTTTCTTGGGTGGATATGTCGATCCAACTTAGGCATTGCATCCGCCCGCAGCAGATCTCCGGAGATGGACGGTGTCATGCGCAGATCTGGCGCAGGCGCAACTCTTAAGTGTTCCTAGGTCTTGAAGTCCTGCAAACCCGTAAGGCCTAAACCCTCTTAGCATAGACCCCCGAAGCACCCCTGAACTCCGCCCACCCAAGCCTATACATAGCTCCTCTGCTTACATTCAGGCAGATCTTCGGGTATGGAGCTCAAGATTCGAGACTTGCAACACCTTCGTTCCTCCTATGACCTCTCCCTGCCATGTAAAGGTGGCGGACCATCGTCGATTTGCCTTGGAGACTTCTGCTCAGCGTGCCTTATAGTTCCAAAGCGCAGGCATGGCCTAGGGAAACACTGTCTGGCTCTGGAGTGAGGACACACCGTCGAAGACGCCTGCCCTGCGCATTCCGCAGAGGGCCCCTACTTTGCAGAGAAGCTCTCACGCGTCGCGCGACGCGGGGGAAACCGGTGAGGCTTTCTCCGATGGGCCCGGTCTGCAACCTCGAGAGTCTCGCGAGCCCCGGGAGCGAGAGCCAGGTCGGAGCCACAAAAAACCGCGAGAGCTCCGGGCCCGCAGTTCGCGTGCCATTTCTCTTGACCCCAAGGCAAGGAGAAGGAGCGCAGTTGGCGCCGGCAAAGCGACCTAAGCGTGAAAAGCCTTTCGACCTACTGCCCAGAGGACCCTGTGCAGAAAGTCTTGCCGGCCTTCTGAGTGTTATGAAGTATGTTTTATGCGCAGGACACGCCATGTGTGGCAGTGAGTGCAACCGATGCAGGGGAGGCAGAGAGAGCTAGCAGCTAGCATTCTTCTGAACCCAGCTTACAATTCGGACCATTCGTGCCATTCACAGGATCGGGGCTTGGCATACGACGATCTCTTTGCCGAGAACAGGCTGATGATCCATGCTGATCTTTGATCGATTTATCAAACGATCGTGCCGATGAGCAAAGGCTTCTGCGGGCAGAAAATGCACAACTACGTTCGGAGCTGGAGAAGTGCCCAAGATACTACTGCCAATGATCTCTTAATAGTTGCGGTCAGGGACAGTTCTGAGCGGAGCCAGCTTGGAACAACAACTTGTGGATACAGCTTGGACCATCAAGCGTCACTTATTAATGGATACAGATGCCACGGACATTTGGGTCGTCTCTTGCGCAACTGGAAGTCTACTCTCACGACCTTCAGCAGATTGTTGAGTTGCCCGAGTATGTAGGGTGGCAATGGCTTGCGGTCATCGTTCCGTGCCTCACGGCCCCGAGCTGGGTGCTCACGCTCTTCAAACGCTGGAGCATGAAAAAGAGCAGGCAGAAACACCTGTCCACCACAAGAAGCAGCCCATACCCGGAAGCAGTGGCAGAGCCTTCCCTCTAACTGTGAGAAGCAGTTGACATGTCTGCTTTGGGGTATTGCAGTGCTTCAGACACATCAGGATGGGTTCCGCTGGGGCTCATCGCGCTTTCGGCACTGGGCTTCTCGATCCAAGCTCTCTTAGTCAGGGAGCTGACCCTTTCGGGTCTGGAGACCTTCCAGATCGTTGAGGTGTCAGCGCAGCATGCAGACGTGGCAGTGTGTGATGCGTCACCTGCCAGTACCACAGAGAGATTCTTCGGCTTCCAAGCCGTTTTGCATCTGAGGTGAGAGGCTGCTGTCAGGCTCTTGGATGTTGCCTGGTTCTTTTGCTGAAGGCCCGTCCAATATCTACCTGGTTAGGTGTTTCAGCACAGGAAAAGAAGGCTTTGCTGGCAAGAGCCGTGGTGGGTTATGGTGGTGTGGCATTCGGCTTCCTGGCGATTTCGCTTCTACCGCTAGCAGATTCGCAGATCGTGTCGCAAACGGCGCCCATCTTCGCAGCGGCCTTCGCTCGAGTCTTCCTTGGAGAAGCATGGCATGTCTCCGAATTTTTCAGCGCAGTGACTGGTATCATAGGGGTCGTCTTCATCTCGAAGCCAGAAGCATTGACGCTCGGCTCTACAGCGGACAGTTGGAGGTCGTAGTGCCAAAAACCGACGTTGCGGAGTGCATGTGAAGGGAATCTGCTGCCCACAGGTTTGGTCGTGGGGCTCACGGTGATGAGCAGCATCTCCGACTGTTTGGCCTTCTATTTGGTCTTCTGAGCGCTCTATGTGGTGGAGGCGATCGGAAAGTCGCAACCATGAGAGCACCAGACATCTCTTCAGAGTCAGGTGCTTATGTCATCATCCGATTCTTGGGTACTGTGAAGGCCAGATTCTGCGCGAGAGTTGCCTGGGCTGTTCTTGTGCTGTTTTGGCCCAGGTGGATTGGACTGTTGTGCTTTTGGTGCAAGCCTTGGGGCAGATGACATTTTCGCCTGTTTGTCTTGTCGCAGCGGGGCAGCATGTCAGGACGGCAAATGCGATTCCAATGGTGTTTCTTTCGATCGTGTGAGCATACGATGAATGGTTGGTATTGTCTCACTCAACATTATCCCAAACGGTGTGGCAGCACTCTGAGTTCTCACGTTCGGTTTATGCTGATTAGCTTGCTGTCTGTGTGAGGAGTCCCAGGCTTCGACTCGCTGTGCATTTGACTAAAGCTGCGTTCTCGCCGAAAGTCCCTCACCGAAGGCATTGTGATTTATAGAATCCATGCTCGTGGCTGGCACTCGTCGGCTCCCCTTCACCAGAGTCATGGTGTGTCCAGGCCCTCCGTTCGCTCAATTCGGTTGAGGATGCGACTCGTTTGCCCAGCGATTCCGCTTCCCGTCCTCGCACTCACGCCTCGTGTATGTGCTGCTATTCTACTACTCTCTTACTGCTGCCAGTGCAACTGTGACTGCTAGAGGCTGCTACTGCTGTTACCACCACTGCTGCGATGATCCCATTGCTGCTGTTCACATGTACATGATAACTCTGATGCTAGACATACGAGGAAGACTGAAGGCAGCACCAGTTATAGCAGCACCGACCATGCGCAGAATGGAAGAATGGGGACAGCGCAGAACGATACTTTATTCGTAGAACTCATAGAAAGGACAATAAGCCTTGGCAACGGTCGGGAGGATGGTCAGCATGAAGCAGCTGCTGTTGGCCCTCGTAATTGGAGCGGTGGGCTTCAGCTCGCAATGCGCCATGACCATTGGAATGCAAAAGGACGGCTAGCGATGCTGTGCTTGGTGCAGTTGCAGCCCCTAGATTTTGCTCTCTATCTACTGTTGCGAGGAGAAATCAGCTACCGCTTCTTTGGTCCGGCAGAGTCTCGTCCCGGTCTTCGCGCTCGTGTGGCAGGGCCTTTTCTTTCCAGAGGAGCGGCTGTCGTGGACAAGCTTTGCAGGCACAAATCTTGGGGGTTGATGCATGTGGAGGCTAGCTGAGGCAACCACACATTGGAGAACCTTTGCCATGTGCCACGTCCGATGCAGTACTCGAAGGCTTCTCCACCATGCTGCTGGGCTTGACAGCCGCTTGGACAGCAGCACTGTCGTGAGGGCTTCTGCGAAGTTGTGCTTTGTGAGGGCTTTAGCTTCGGCTGAGGTCACGGTGGTCTTCAAGGCAATGAGGGAAAGCTCCTCTCAAACCAAGACCACGGGGTATGCCAAAGTGGCCGAGTCAGAGAACCAGGAGGCCAGTCGTTTCGCTTACGCTGATGTTTGTGGCTTTTTTTGTGGGTTGCACAGGATGGTACGCCCTCGAAGCTGCATGGCGGTTGCTTGCCATCGATGGCAGCTGATGCTGGAAGTGACATCTACGGGAAAAGGCCGGAGACCAACTGTCAGAAGCATCACTCTCAGCTGCTGTGAATGTTAGGAGCTTCTTTGATGAGGCGTACAGGCCCCAGTGTCTGCAAATTCAATGACGACAGACTCCGGTTCATGGAAGCCTTAGGCCTGGCGTGTCTCGCGAAAATGAGATGATCGAGCTTCTGCAGAAGGAGGGTTTCAGTGTCTTGGCAAAGCCTGGGATGAGACGGCTCCCAAAGACCAATTTTGCTCTCAGGCCGAAGGCAGGCCGAGCTCGCACTGGAGGAGGTGGGCTGGTCCAGCCCGAAGGCCCGAAGGGGGCGCCTCAAGGGGGCCTGAAGGGTAAATGCAAAAGCCTTACCGGATGTTGCGGCTCTCTAGGATGCCTTGGACATTCTCTTGGACTGCAAGTACGGGGACGCGTCCGTGCAGCAGACGAGCGACCATGCTGCCGAGCCTTCTCCCGACGAGACGGGATGACATCAGAAAAGCTCCGCGGCACCTGATGGACCAGCCGGGCCAGGTGTGTCTTCAACCAAGGGCCACAGCATTGCCAGACCCTCACACCTGCGAAACGCAGCACTCGCCCGATCAACCAGGTGCAAGCCCAGTGTTCCTCCTGTTCGGGACGGAAAACTGCCTCGAGATGGACGAACATTCTTCGTCAAGCCGCTCAGCAGCGTGGTCCCATTCACATGCTCCGTCCAGCCAAAGGTGCATCGTGCGAACTTGCTTCGTCGAGAAACGCTCGTCCAATACTCCGACAACATGCTCTCTTGTCAGATTTCTGCCGCACGTCCCAAGCCACTTGGCACTTCAGTCTGCAAGGGCCAACATCTGCGCAAGACAGACTTCTCCCCGGTATCTCTCCACAGACTTGGGTGCCATATGAGGAGCCCTGTCCTCAGTCTGGTCGCTGGAGGCGCGGGCACCATTGGTGCCACGGCCGCGAGGCTTCCGCTTGCGACTCGCTTCGCGCCCAAGCGCGTGGACATCATCCGCAGACCCTTCGGCAGCGCTGCGAGTGTCTTGGGCTGTCGCCTCGGCGTCTTCAGAGGATCCACTGGATCGAGACGCGGCTTAACTCGTGAGGTGCAGGGAGCTAGACAAGCCCACACAATGACTTCTGGCGCCTACCACCGGTCGGATCCGAGATGCGAATCAATCGTCGGTTCTGCCTGGAACAAGCCTCCTTCTGTTGCAAGGAGAGCTGGCTTGATCGTTGCAGATGCATTTGGCTTGCTCTATGCATTGATGTTCTTTGCAAGTTTCGGTTTCAGGGAGTTCGAGGCTTTTTTGGTGCTATGCGTTCATTCAGAGGGGATTTGATCTATCGCAGTTCCTCTGGAGATTGGGAAGGCTAGCGGCCAGGAGACGGGAGCTGTTCTGCGAGGTTTTGTTGTTCATGGAGCACGGCAACCTCGTGGCTGCAAAAAACCGTAAGACATGCTTGAGAGTCCGCTCTGGTCCTCGCAACGTTCATCCCCGAAGTGGACGAACCTGGAGTGGACTGCGCAACGACATGCTTTCGTTGGGGAAGGACACCTGCATCCATGCTGGCGGCAGGCACTGGAGCATGTGAAGAGACATACTCCGTTGCAGGGGTCAGTGGCGACGGCCATGTGTGTCAGATGGCAAGCAGCGACTGACAATGCATGCAGTGACTGCCCCTCACTTTGGCTGTGTAATCAAGGCTTTGCAGCTTGTTGCTCGTTGTGGCAAGGAGAGTCATAGCTTCTAGTGTGTTCCGTGGCCAGGGTTTCTTTATTCGGGAGATCATATCTATGCACGACCACGAGGTGGTTCGATTGCCTCCTGTGTCCGCCGCACGCTTCCGGGCTTGCCGCGCAAAATCCGGGCAAAAGTCTTTTGCTGTGCGCGAGAGTTTTCTGACCTGCAGAACTTTCTCAGCTTCTCTTCATATCCCAGTCCTCATTTGTCTGCTGTTGTTGAGGTACCAAGCCTGGTATGAGCAGCTCACCGCCAGCTACTACAACGGAAACGGATACTTGAAAAAGTAGCCTTTACCAGTTATGTGATGCATTGTTACTACAATGAAAATTGCTATTGGTATTGGGGCTATCAGGCTATGTGTCTCTTTCGTGCATTTGAGCAGTGCCCTCCTTTGCCGAAACCTGGCGAGAGGGGCTCATGAATCGTGATGACTCGAGCTAGTTTGCAGCTGCCTCCAAAGATGCGTTGCTCAGCTTGGATTTCCAGCGAGGAGAGTAATCGCTCGGAGGTCGCTGCTTTGTAAATGCTGGTGGACGTCAGCGGGTGTTGCCGTCCAGCTGATCAAGTGCACATCTGCATCTTTAAGCTCCGAAGTGTTCAGCTCGAAAGTGGAAAATGACTCAACACCTCGCCAAGCCTCCCAACTTCGAGCCGCGGCGCTGAAAAGGCAGAGCTCAGACCGAGGTTTGCGACCAGATGGAGACAGATCGCTGCAATCAAGCACGGTCGGGGTCAAGAAGGTGTTGAATACCCTCTGTCGCCGTACAGCTGCTTTCAGGGGGTAGCCTGCTTTTCGCAGGCTCTTGGGGAATCATCATAGGCGGCTGTGGTGGCAGACAGCAACCAACCACCCATGTAGGCGGAGAGCCCGTGTACACGTTACACCGGTGGGAAGTAGGACCCGATCGTCGAAGTTTCGCATGTGAAGCTGGGATGCGTGTGGGCGTAGTAGTGTAGTCTTAGAATAAGCGAGGGTTTGGACTTTAAGCCACATGCTCGGCCTCGCTGGCTTGACAGAGCCAAGGTGCTTCAACAGCTTAACTTCTTCAGTGATAGCTGCGTCTGGATTTGATCATCCCAGGCTGGATCGAGCTTTCCGTGGGCACCGAGCGCCTGTCACTTCTGTGGTCTTTCATCCAGAAGAGCAGCAGGTGGCAGGGTGGCACGGTGGATCTGAGTGGTGAAGTGATTTAATCATCCGCCCACAGGCCATATCTGGAGCTCATGACGGCTGCCTCTTCGCTTGGACCTCAGCATGTACATGTTCGCAGAGTAGGGGAGCAGCACACAGGTCTGGCACTTCAAGCCTCAGCTTCGGCCTTTCCGCTTTGTTGGCCGAGCACTCGATTTTGTTGGCTGGTGCTCAGGCCCAGTGGAGCACCTGACATGACAGTTCCCGTACCTCCGAGTCGGGCACTTTCCTGAGAGCCGAGGCCACAAGGGCGAAGTGCACGACCTCGCCATCAGCCGCTTCGAGCCTCGATTTCAAGAAGCTTCGGAGGTAGTCTTCGCTGAAGTCAGCGCCTTGCATCATTTGTTCCACGCTACGAGGGCCAGTGCATCGCATCAGCATCAGCCGATCAGACTGCAGCTGGGCAGCATAAGTTCGGATAAGTTGAAGAGTTGGAACGGCCCATGCACGGCTTCAGCCTATGGCAGCTCAGGTGCGACTTTGGACCAACTCCGCCCAAGGCGACTCGAAGGTCATGAAGGTGCCCTACATGCTTCATGTAAGCTACCATTGGGCACAGCCCCTGTGAGCAGCTCTTTGGGATTTACGTCTGAGCTGAACTTAGGTGCATACAGCACCAGTCCGAAGCGTCTGCTTCTCAAGAGACGACTCCACTCTGCTGACCGCATCCGATGACAAGACCATAAAATTGCCAGCATCTCATACTGGCACGTCACGACAACCGGGTTCTTGTTTGTGTGTGGTGCATCTCAAGGTGGTCTGTGGCATCCCAGCGCTTTCATGCCTCCTTGCTGGGTCACACGAACTGGGTGACTCGCCTTCATGCACCTGAACTTCCAGCCATCATCGGGCACCATAAAGCGGTGCAGTCCTTTGCAAGGTGTATTCTGCGGACTTCTCCAAAAACTCCGAGTTAGTCGCCTCTGGTGGTGAGGACGTTTTGGATCGATTGCAAGGCTGTTTGCGCGTTCGAAGGGTTGGGTCCCAGCTTGGTGTCGCATGACTTGCTGCAGCAGACGTCACTCTTCTCTTTGTCTTGTTTGGTTTTGAAGCAAAGCTGAATTCCCTTGCAGGATCGTGTGATACGTGTTTGGGATGTGGACAAGAAGGCCATGGATGTGCTGGAAACACTGGCCAGCAGTTTCTGCAAATGGCAGGCGACGCTCATGACCTTTCCCGACTTCGAGGTTCCGGTGGCCAAGGTCAGGTTCCATCCGGACGGGTTGGGGCCTTGGACCACCCACAAGGCTTCCACGCGTGCCGAAGTTAGTGAACCCATCAGCTCTTCCCCAGTACAGCACTTATGTAGAGTGATATTCTTGAGGGTTATCTCTTCAGAGCTTACAAGACTTGGTTGTAAGCGATAGTTGTCGTGTGGATCAGAATATACATCACCATGACTTATAGGCTACAGGAGAAGAGAAGAATAGGCAAACTTGCTGACACGCACATGAAGTAGAAGTGCATTGTACACGCCATACGGTTTACGAAGGCCCAGCCAGATTAAGCGCAGAAGCATCAAGTCATCAAGTGAAGCCGTGGAGATTCTGGAGGATCTCGCGAAATATGTTTACCGACACAGAGTCTGAGCGGCACCTTTTTGTTTTTGTTTTTTCTTCTGGAACTGGAGTTCCTAATGCTGTGGTGCACTGATTTAGTGCAGTTGCACCGTCTTAGCGGCTCTTCCCGTGTTCACTTGGCACTATGTCACTGTAATATCTCCTTGCTGCCTTCCAAGTTTCGTTGACATGCACGCTAGTAGATGAGGTTGAGCACTCAAGCCGATTTATCCTGGAACAGCTTGCTGCGCAGAACATATTGAGCAGGCAAAGTATCTCCTTGGCTGGTCTTACGTGTGTAGTGCACTATGTCGGTTGACTATTCTCGGACATCTTCATGAGCTCTGTTGAAGTAAACTGACTGGTTTCTACTGTCGAAGTTAGTCACAGCAAGGACACCCGTTCAGCAAGCAAAGCTTTGCCGTTTCTGTGTTGCACATACCATGCTCTCAAATCACAATGACATGCCGCGAGTGCATGAGAAGTCATGCATACAAAGTTTTAGATCATGATAGGGTTTAATTGCAGTTCTAACTAACATCTAGATAGTTTCAAAGCGACAGTTTTCCCTTGTTTGGGATGTAGTGACACCTGAGGCTTTAGGCCTTTAGGCTTCAGGCTTTCAATCTCGCAAAAGTTTCCTTTGTATACTAGTCTAGTCTTGGGCAGGTAGTTGTGAGACTTGGGTGTCAGGTCTTGCATAGCAGCTTGTGGGCACGATGGCTGCATCAAGCTCTGGGACTTGCGCTCGCCGGAAGCTTGGATCATCTCGCTCTGCCTGGCATGTTGAGCTCATGCCAGCTTTCCGCTCGCAGGCGTAGGTTGCTGCAGCACTATGATGCGCATGTAGGCGCGGAGATGGGTGCCATGTACCTGCACCATCAGGGTTCGAGTTCCTGCTGTTGCAGGCATGCAGTCTTGCCGAGGCCGAATCACCTCCATTGACTTCCATCCTTACGGAGAACAGCTCGCATCGACCGGAGAGGAGGGCACAGCCACCAAGAAGCACAGCTTCTCAATCACATGAGCCGTCAGTAGCTGACCGTGCAGCAGGCATTTTCGCTGCTGAAGATGACATGTGTCGTGTATGCAGCAGGATGGAGCATTGAAGATTTGGGATCTGCGCGAGGGAAGGTTGATGCACAAGGCCGAAGTCTTTCGATGCTATTTGCAGGCTTTGCAGATTTCACCTGCCACTGCTGATCAGCTGTGTTGCAGGTCGTCGGGCAGGGCCACAAGAAGGCTCCACAGGCATGTGCGTGAACCTCAAAGCCGGTCGAAAAAATCCCATGCAATGCGTTCGCGCTGGTGCCGACTTGCTGTGCGTGCTCCCGAGGCCTTCTCGCCTTCGGGAGGGAGTGCTGGGCTGAGACAGCAATGCTTATTACACCCGAAAGCTGGTTTTCAGTCTCACGCAGCTTCACGCAACAGGCCTTGCAACAGCCGGACAAGATGGCTTGGTGCACCCTGCTATGCAGGCACGCTGCTGGTCGGATTGCGGTGCTACCCTTGAAGGTCCTGACCTGGAGCTGCTCGCAAGCGGCTCCGGTTGCGGCCGCAGCTCCCCCATCCTCTGCTCCGAGTCCGGCACGGCGCCATCCCGTCACGACGCCGGAGCGGGCGCAGGTCCGGGCTCTCTCGGAGAGCAGGTCCCGCCGGGAACCCAAAGCACCCAAAGAGGCGCCTAAAGAGGCACGGGCACCCCGAGAGACCAGGGAGGCAGAAGACTCTGCCGAGCCCCAAGACCGGGAAGAACGGGATGAGCTGCCCGCAGCTGTCGACCACATGCAAGAAGTCCCTGCTCCATTGGCAGAGACGCTGAAGACGATGCAGCAAGCCTGCACTAACTGTGCCGCTAGCTACATATGTGCAGGCATTCCAAACCCTCATGAGAGCTGCAGGCAGAGCCACTTGGAGATCATGATGCGCACCGTGCAGCTGCTGGCGACAGCCCTTGTTGTTAAGCGTCCTCACTCCGAGTGCTCCCGGTGAAAATAATGGCTGCGAGTTTTGAGGACCAACGCCTGGCACTGAACGAGCAGCAGGCCATTGAATGTTGCACCACTGTGTGGTTGTGTCACCCCTGTCACTGTCATGCAAGAGGTAACTGCGATGCGATCGGAACTGCCCGAGTCCAAGTTGAGACAACAGTCGTGTTCAGCTCATTTCTGTGCTGGTGCTGAGGTTGCAGCAGGCCTCAGTTCGGACTGAGGGGACCTCGGAACAGCCAGCTCCGATAAAAGCTCAGGCAGCGAGTGTTTCGGTTTCTCGGCCATCACAGGAATCCTAGACGGCTTGCGCTGATTTGGCGAGAGGATGCGAGAGGGGCAGCGTGTAGCTCCAGAGGTTGTCATCCTGCATCAGTGTCAGGGCGACGAGCTCCTCCTGAAGCCGACAGAACCTGAGGAGGCTCCGGCTTTTGCTTCAGACAGAGGAGAGTTTGGTTCTGCTTAGTTGTGCCAGGAGCTGCGGCATGAACTGGAGAAACTACGGCAGCTGCTTTGAGGGGGAAGACAAAGCTGGCAAAATACTCGGCGAGTTTACTATCCGGTGTGTGTGTGTGTGAGAGCCCTGA